GGGTGGGATGTGTGTCTATGTGTGACTGAGAGGGAGCGATCTCATCTCTCTCCTCTTTTCCTGGCCTGGGAGCACCTGTGGGTAAGGGATAGTCATGGTGGGGCTGGGAGGGAGAAGTGAGAGAATGCAAACCTTTTTGGTTCCTGGAATGCCTCCTCCTGCCTCCCTCACATGCTCTGCCTGAAGGGATGAGGCCTGTGGATTTGGGGAATGAGGGGATCCACTTTCCTGGGCTCAGCACCTCATACTGAACGCATGAATGACACCAGAGTCGTGGTTCTGGCTCAGAGTCGTGGTTCCCTCAAGTTCTGGCTGTGCAAACGACTCCAAAGTGGACCTAGGCCCTAAAAGTCAAAGGGCTGGCAAGGATGCCACACTGGGCAAGTGCATGGCTCAGGCAAGGGGGCGTCTAGGAGGGAGGCTGGTTTCAGCAGAAGAACAGTTTGGATGATGGAGCCGGAAGTCCCAGAATTTTCTCTGGCAGCTAAGAGGATGGGTTCTGAGTGGGGAGAGGTGTAGATACTTCCCAGAGGCAGGAATCAGGACTCTACGCAGAAGATCCCTGTGTGAGAGTTGGATGAGGATGGGGCCTCTGCCCCTGCCCAGGCCTCTCTGATGGCCCCCGGCCCCCAGAGGAGACAGCTTCTTAGGGACGGGCCTAGATAAGCTCCTGCTCTCCCCTTGCTCTGCTCACAGCCAGAGGGGCCGAGATGATCCCCGGAGCCAAGGCAGGACTTATGCTCTGCACACTGTGGGGGGTGGGGTGGGTGGGTGGTTTGTTTGCAGGCTGGCATCACAGCTGCACTGCTGGGTGTAGAAACTTGGGGGGGGGGGCAGGTGTTAAATCTGGCTGGAGCCCCTCCTCTGAGGTTGCTGGGATCCACTTCTCTCACCTATGCTCTCCCTCTTGGTTGCTGTTCAGTTGTTCAGTCGTGTCCAATTCTTTGTGACCCCATGGACTGCAGCACTGCCAGGCTTCCCTGTCCTTCACTATCTCCTGGAGTTTGCTCAAACTCGTGTCCATTGAATTGGTGATGCCATCCAAACATCTCATCCTCTGTTGTCTCCTACTCCTCCTGCCTGCGATCTTTCCTAGCATCAGATACCCCATGTCCAAAGGCAAAGGAGAAGCCGCAGTAAGATGGCAGGAGCAGTGCAATCGCGTTTAAAATCAAACCCTCCTGGCTAGAGCCTCCACAGCCGCCTCCCCCACCCCAAAGTAGTGTCAGTGCCTGGGGTGGGGAAAGGTGGATGGATTGCCCGAAGGAGGCAGGGAAGACCCCTAAATCCAGGTCTTTCCTTCCTACGGTAGGACCTGCAGGAACCTCTCTTTCCCCTCCAAGGACAGGTCCCTTCCCGCCCAGGGCTCACAGAAGTCAAGGAAGCAACAGAGATTCCGTTTCTCTTTATTGTTCTCACTGAGGGCGGCTTGGGTAGGAGTTAGGGCCCCTCTCATAATATAAGGAGGGTCGGTGGGCGGGGAGACGAGTTGGGCTTCGGAAGTCAAAGCCCAGCCTGGAGAAGTAAGTCCCCGCGAATCCCCTGGGTCCCTCCAGCCTCCAGGGCTTCCTTTCGCTCCCGCCCAACCTGCCCCCAGTTCCGCGGACCCCGACTGGGGCCAGCCGGGCCCAGGCTCTCCTACCTGGGGCCCTGGGAGGAGGCTGATGGTTGGGGTTTCGCGGCGTTCCGCGGTGGGGGGTTCGTGGTTTTCCGTCCGGGGAGTTTCGTCTCGTTCGCTGGCAGGGGTTTCGTCGCGTTCGCTGACAGGGGTTTCGTACTATTCTTGGGGTTGTTCGCGTCATTGGAGTTCTTGGTTTTCTTAGACTTCATGCTGAGGAACACGTCTTTTCAGAGGCCATGGGGCTGCTCTGCGAGCCCAGTTCCCGACTGCGTTGAGCAGGGAGCCGGGTGGGGTGGGGCAGTGGGGGCAGGTGGCGTCCGTCTCCTCCCATCCCCTTCCGTTCCCCCCTGCCCACCTGCTGTTGAAGAGCTTCTCCATGTACTTGTTGAATTGACCTAAGTTGGACAGCCAACGGGCGACCCGGGGCATCAGACGCTGTTGTCCTTGCAGCTCCTCCCCCACGGCCTCGTCCGGTCCCCAAAGCACCACGATACACACCAGGGCGAGTGCGCACGCGCAGCGCAGAGCCGTGGGCTAGAGGGGGCGGGGCAGACAGAGGAGGACGGTCACGTGACATCCAGACCCCCGAGACCTGGGCGGTGGACAGATACAGGAGCGCCGTAAGGGACTTCCAGGTACCCAGGCCGAATGGTGCACATCTGGCCACGCACAGTGATGGACATAAAGCACCAGGTACACGGGGACCCTGGCGATGGACTGGGAGGTACACCCTGAGATGGACACATCGGGATGGTATAGGCCAGCTCCGTGACCTCACTGACTTCTGCAACTCCTTTTCGCCTCACTCCTGGGTCTCCGGCCTCCTTGCTGTTGCTCAAAAGTGTCAGACATGCCATTCACTCTGCCCGGAGGCTTCCTCCAGGTATCCATATGACCAACTTCCTCTCTCCATCTCAAAATTCAAAAATCATCTCAAAATTCGCCTTCTAAATGGACCCTACTCGGATGACCCTATTTAACATTGCAACTCATCTCTTCATCTTGTTCTATTCTCCCTCTCTTGCAACTTCTAACTTACTGTATTCTATGCTTTTTTTTTTTTAATGAGTAAATCCCCAGTGGTAACCCCTCCACCAGTGTAAGCACCTGGCAGCTAAGGGGATGGGCAGCTGGGCCCTTTGCCTGTTTTGTTTACTGATGTATCACAAGCACCTAGAACAGTGCCTGACACTTAGTAGGTGTCCCATGGGATTCTCCAGGCAAGAATACTGTTGTGGATTGCCTTTTCCTGTTCCAGGGGATCTTCCCCACCCAAGGATTGAACCAGGGTCTCCTGCACTGCAGGCGTATTCTTTACCATCTGAGCCACCAGGGAATCCCGGGTGCTCAGTAGTACATGTTAAATGAAAGACTTAACACAGTTGCATACAGGGATGATAGTCCAAGAGTCCCCATGCACACCCGTCACACACAGAGAATTTTGTGCTGGCAACACTCAGACACATCCAGTGATCGATACACTATGATGCCCATATACATGCTGCTTGTGGCTGGAGCCTGTGAGACCGTTAACCCTTTCTTGACCAGGAACTCCCCTCCCCACCACCCAAAGCAAGGACAGGCAGCCCTGGCAGCTGTCCTGGCAGAGTGGGCTGCCCTGGCCTCACTCCTTCATGCCCTCAATGGCTTGAGGAGGGCCTCTGGGTGCCAGTCTCTATCCCAAGCTCCAGGAGAGCACAGCTGACAGGGACCACCGGGCATTACCATGGTGCTGGGCAGGTCCAGAGCGGCACAGCAGAAGGATCTCTGCCCAGGACCTGCCTGGCTCTTTATATTCCTCGGCATCCATGCCCTCTCCCTCTAAGGCTCCACCCTCCTCCTGCCCTGTGTCATAACCTGAGAGTTGGGAACAGGGAGAGGGTGGGGGTGGAAGCACATGGGCTGCCAGCTGTCCTGAGCAGGGCACAGTTCCTGCCAGAGGCCCAGAGGTGTGGGTGGCAGAGGCAGAGGCCCTAGGGAGTAAGGTAATTTTGCTCCACACCTACAGATCCCAGGGAGGAACTGTCTCTGGGGTTGAAAGGGGGCAGTGCTTTTCCCAGAGGCTATTTTCAGGGATAGGAGGGCTTCCCTGGTGGCTCAGATGGTAAAGAATCCGCCTGCAATGCGGGAGACCTGGGTTCGATCCCTGGGTTGGGAAGATCCCATGGAGGAGGGCATGGCAACCCACTCCAGTATTCTTGCCTGGAGAATCCCCAAGGACAGAGGAGCCTGGTGGGCTGCAGTCCATGCGGCCGCAGTCAGACACAACTGAGCGTCTGAGCACAGGAGGGAAGCTACGTTGAGAGGCCAGGTGCCCCTTTCCTTCTAGCAGCCTCCAGGGTGCCTCCCCTCCCCGCAGGGCTACTGTGAGGCCTCAGCGCCCCTGCTTCTGGCTTCTGGGCCTCTGGCCTGGAGGCAGGGTGGGTGGCAGTGAAGCTGGGGTTTCTGCCTTCAGGATCGCAGACCTCTCTGCTCATCCTGGAGGATTTTCTGGCCTGCTCAGCCACTTTGGAGCCCCTGCTGTATGCTCCGCAGAGCCTTCGGAAGGGTGGTGGGTCTTGGCTGCCTGCTTGAAGGAGGAACTCAGGCCTTGGGTTGCCTCAGGTCACAGAGTTTTAGCTGTCTGGACCTGTCAGGACCTCTCCAACTGCTCAGCATTGCCGCTTTTCTGGGGTAAGGTTGTGAAATATAGGCTGATGCTTTTTCATGCCCACCCTATCCCCAGAAGGGACACAGAAAGAACAGGGGCTTCTGGGTAGGAATCCGGACTTCACTACTTCCTGGCCATGTGACCGTGAACAAAGGACGTTATTTCCTCTGAGCCTCTGCAGCCTGTCTGTGCGATGGTGCTGGCCACACCTGCAGCACAGAGCTGTTGTGAGAACTGAGTCCAATGATGCAGCTGAAGGCCTTGGAGAACTCCTGGCACAAATAAGCGACTAGCCAGTGTGAGGCCCCCCACTCCGAGATATGCTCCCCCCTCGGCCCACCTCCATCTGCCTTTCTCCCTCAGGGGAAGTGGTGAGAAACTCAGTGTCAACATAATAGAAATTTATGGGGTGGCTCAGTAGCCAAGTGAGACCAGGGCTACATTTCCATGGAGCCAAGGATCTCCAGGAGAAGAAATGAGATTCCTATGATAAGATTCCACAGTACAGGTGAGAGGAGAGATCTAGGAGCCAGTGTACCTCAAATCCCAACAAACAGGTTATTGTTTCTTCCACTTAGGCACAAGCCCAGGGCTTCCCAGGTGGCACTAGTGATAAAGAACCTGCCTGCTGATGCAGGAGACGTAAGAGGCACAGCTTCAATCCCTGGGTTGGGGAGATCCTCTGAGGAGGGCATTGCCACCCACTCCAATATTCTTGCCTGGAGAATCCCATGGACAGAGGGGCTTGGCGGGCTGCGGTCCATGGGGTCACAAAGAGTTGGACACGACTGAAGTGACTTAGCATGCATGCACAAGCCCAGCTCTGATACCCCGTCTCCAAAAGATCTCCAATATGTGTCCTCTTGCAGCGCTGGCTGTGAGAACCCAGGCTGCCCTTAAAAACCCCTGGGCTCCTCCTCGGGCACCCAGGGCTTCAGTCCCTTACTCTTCTGGGTTCAGTTCATTCCAGGAACCCTCAAGTTCTGGTGCTTGGTGCTCTGCTGCTCGAGGGCTGGTGCTTGGCTCCCCTCCTTCCTGAGCCAGGATAAGAGAAGATGCTCGATGGGGTGAGCAGGTTGGGGGAGGAGGCCTAAAGAACTCTGTATTCTTGTCACTAACAGTAACTCTGTGAGTATAGAGTTGCATACTGATAATCACTGTAGCTGCTCAGTGCCAGGTACCAGGAGGAGCATTCTGGTACAGCAGCTATCATTTTGATGATCCATGCAGGTGTTGTTAACTGCTCTCGCATGTGAGGAAACAGAGAAGTTCTGAGACCTATCTAATTGGATCTGGAGGAGCAGCCCATCTTCTTGGAAAGCTGCCCCTAGCCAGGTGCATGCCTACTTTCCCTCCGGCCTCCAACCGTCTGCTGTCCTGAGTCCCGCTCCATTGCCTCCCAGTTCCTTCACCTGTCTACTGCTCCTAACTCCCGTGGGGGTGCTGGTCACATTCCCCTCCCCTTCCCAGGCTCCTTCCATCTGCTTGGCTGTTTCTCCCAGGGGCCTTTTCGAGTGATTGCTTCCCTGCTCCTCCAGGCAGGACACAGGCATCAGCATCAGACTGACCTGGGCTTCAAGTTTGCTATGCAGCCTGCTGACTGTATGTTCCTGGACAAGTCACTTTGCTTCTCTGAGCATGATGTCCTCAGCTACGGCCGGTGCACATAGCTAGGTCATGGGGTTATTGGGAGGCAAAGCTGAGAGCAAGCTCCTCAGGCGTTAAGCTGAAAATCTGCCTAGAATTCTGTGAGTTGCCCCCATACCCTTCAGAGAAATTCCCTCTTTTGCTTAAACTGGCTTGAGTTGGACTTTTGCTTGCAACCAAAGTCTTCCCTGGTGGCTCAGATGGTAAAGAATCTGCCTGCAGTCCTGGATACCTGGCTTGGGAAGATCTGATCCCCTGGAGAAGGAAATAGCAACCCACTCCAGTATTCTTGCCTGGAGAATTCCATAAACAGAAAAGCTTGGTGGGCTACAGTCCATGGGGACACTAAGAATCCGACACGACTGAGCGACTAATGAACCAAACCAAAGAAAACTGAAAAACTTCCCATTACTTCCTGGATAAAGTCCAATCTTCTTAGCATGATGTCTAAAGTCCTTCACAATTTGAATTCAACCTACTTTAAAAAAAAGAAAAAGAAAAACCTGTAAAAACTTTATAGAAGAATTTAAACACAAAAATCTGCCCATTTAAAACATACAACAGAATGCATTTTGACAAATATGTAGTCACCCCCACAGTCTAGATTCAGAATATTTCCACCACCCCAGCAAGTTCCCTCTTGCTCCTTTTCGGTTCATCTGGCCCCAGGCCAGCGCTGATCTAATCTCCATCGATTAGTTTTGCCTATTTTATTTTAGTTTCGCCATTCATACTGTTGTTGTTCAGTTGCTAAGTCATATTTGACTTTTTGCAGCCCCACGGACTGCAGCGCCCCAGGCCTCCCTGTCCCTCGCCATTCATATAAATGGCATCAAACAGTGTGTTCTCTTTGTGTCTGGTTTCTTTCACTCAGTATCACGTTTTTGACATTTCTGTGTAGTGTTAGGCATCTTGGCCATTTGTTCCCTTTTCCTGTTGAGTGGTACTCTTCCTTTGTGAGCGGTATCCCAGTTTGTTTATCTTCCCCCTGTTCTCACTATTTGCCTTTCAGTCCACTTTCTTCAACCACATTCCCGCTGTTCCTGGCTCATTGTACCTGTCTAGCCCTCTGCCTGCTAGATTCCAATGGTCTCCTAGACAGCCTTGCTCTTTCACATTCCTTCACCTTTGCTTGTGCTGCTGCTTGTCTGGAATGAGCTGTTTCTGCTCCTCTGCCTGGTAAAACACCCCTGGCCCCCAGCCCCAGGGACAATTCCACTTTGGTGAGGCCTCCCTGGTCCCCTCCCTGCCCTGCCCTGGGCTCCTGGGGCTTCTCTTTTCGCTCTGGTGACCGTGATGGTGTTTATGGGGTCTGCTGGCAGGTGATGCCCACGTCTGGTTCTTGTGCCAGCCTGAACTCCAGCAGAGGGAACGGTGCCTTAGTCATTCCCCATCCCACGGATAGGGCCCAGTGCCTGGAGAACAGATGCCTGGGGTTAGTTGAGAGAACGCGTGTTAACTACCTTGCCTGAGTAACAGAATATGAAAAATCAGGATGTGAGTTTCACTTCTTTGAATATTCCCAGAGGGGTGAGGGAGGGAGGGCAGGGCCGGCCACCTCCCAGAAGGGGCCAAACTCGTCCGGGGAAGGATCAGAGAACCTTGGAGAGAAATGGGGGAGCCAGATCTTGAGTCTGGTTCTTCTCACCTGAGCTTGGCAGGGACATCCAATACCCTTTTGCTCAAGCCTGAAACTCTTTCCAAAGGGTGTGGGCCTAGCTCTCTCCTCACAGCCTGTGGCGCTGAGAGCTTCAGACTCAAATCTTTTGCCTTAAGGAATCTCTTTGATGATGTGGGTATCTGGGCTAACTCATGGGAGGCTGGCGGGGCTGCTCCCATACCTGGGACTCAGTAGCTCAATCTTCTGGATGTCCTTCCACCCTCTTTGTCTTGACCTCACTCTTAGACCACAGGCCTTGACCTGATCTCGCTAAGCCTTTTGACTGGATCCCAAAGCAGAGTTGGGGTGCAGGTGTTCTAAAAACAGTTCTTGTTTATGCGAAGGGGAGTGGTTTGGAAAATCCCAGACGGGAGCCCTCAGGGTCCTGCTTTAATTCAAGAGGTCACTTAGCATTTTTTTTTCCCCCTGTGGCAAAAGTTTTATTACAGTGAAAAAGGGATAGAAAAAGCTTCTGACATAAACATCAGAAGGGGGCAGAGAGTGCTTTTTTACTAGCAGACAAGCTGGTAAAAAAAATATTTATTTGGTCGAGTCGGGTCTTAGTTGTGGCATATCTAGTTATCTAGTTCCCTGACCGGGGATTAAACCTGGGCTACCTGCCCTGGCAGCGTGGAGTCTTAGCCACTGGACCACTAGGGAAGTCCCCACTTGGCATGTTTATTGCGCAGTGTTTATTGATAACCTGTCTGCCTGCAGGGCTTGTAGGCACTGGGGCACATCGTGAAATCAATAAGGTTCTTCTGGAAGCTTCAGTCCCACTCACCCTCTTTTATTGGGGGATGGTGGCTCAGACGGTAAAGAATCCACCTGCAATTCGGGAGACTGGGGTTCCATCCCTGGGTAGGGAAAAACCCCTGGAGAAGGAAATGGCTACTCACTCCAGTATTCTTGCCTAGAAAATTCCGTGGATAGAGGAGCCTGGTGAGATACAATCCATGGGGTCATAGAGTCAGAGACAACTGAGCAACTATCACTTTCACTTTCAAAGATTTTATTGAGATATAATTCATATATCATAAAATTCATCCATTTACTGAGTACAGTTCACTGGTTTCTGGTATATTCACAGAGCTGTGCAGTTCTCATCACAATCAATTTCAGAGTATTATTTTATCACCTCCCAGAAGATACTCCATGCCCTTTAGCAGTCACCTTGTATCCTTCCCAGCCCTAGACAGCCAGCAGTCAACTTTGCAAGGTTAAGTTCTTTACAACACACGTTCCTTTTTTAGCTGAAAAACATTCCATTTCGTGGCTATACCACATTTTGTTTATCCATCCATCAGTTGATACATACTTGGGTTGTTTCTACTTTTTGGCTATAATGGATGATATTGCTATATGTGGACCCAGGTTTTCATTTCTTTTGAGTCCACACCTAGGAGTGGAATTGCTGGATCATGTGGTAATTCTTTGTTTAGCGTTTTGAGGAACTGCCAGACTGTTTCCCACGGGGCTGCTGCACCATCTGTTCTATGCACTCTCGCTGAGGGAGGCCTCCCCTGGGCCAGACCAGAGTGAGGACTAGTGAGCTGACTGTCATCTTTCCTGTAAGACAAAATACCAGTAATTTCCCAACCAGCGTTTAGTTTCCCAGCCTCAATTTAAGATGATATTATTTGCATTCTTGTCATTCGCATACTTAGCCTACTACTGAGGGCTCAATATATAACCTACTTGATTTCTTAACCTGATAGCTACATTCTCTAATAAACCACCACAGACAACTACCTCCTCCAGAACCTTCCATCTTGGGCCAATTCTCAGTCCCAGGGGATGCCTGGTTCTGGCTTCATTGTCAGCGTAAGCAGTGGTGAGATGCCCACATGTGTGATTCCTGAGGCCTGTGCAGGCAGAGGAGGGGGAGGAGCTGGGTTTTTTTAAAAAAATTTATTATTTATTTTGGTTGCATTGGGTCTTCATTGCAGACTGTGGTGTGTGGGCTTGGTTGCCCAGCTGCATGTGGGATCTCAGCTCCCCCACAAGGGATTTGAACCTGCATCCCCTGCATTGCAAGGCAGATTCTTAACTCCTCGACCACCAGGGAAATCCCTGGGTTGTTTTTTCTTTTTTTAATTGTATTTTATTTTATTTATTTTTGAAAAAGCTTTTTATTGTTGTAAAAGTCACATAATGTAAAACATACTATTTTAACCACATTTAACTTTACGGTTCAGTGGCACTAAATACGTTCGCATTATTGTACAACTCTCACCATCATCTATCTCCCCAAATTTTCACTTTCCTAAACTGAAACTCTGTCCCCATTAAACACTAACTTCCCATTTCCTCTCCCTTCTCCCTTAACCCCCAGCCTCAGGGATCGACCAGTGTACTTTCTGACTCTATGAATTTGACTATATTCTAGGTACTTTAGTACCTCGTGTGTGTGCTATGCTTAGTCACTGGGTCATGTCTGACTCTTTGTGACCCCATGGACTATAGCCCGCCAGCCTCCTCTGTCCATGGGATTCTCCAGGCAAGAACACTGGAGTGGGTTGCCATGACTGGAGTGGGTTGCCATGCCCTCCTCCATGGGATCTTCCCAACCCAGGGATCGAACCCAGGTCTCCCACATTGCAGGCGGATTCTTTACTGTCTGGTCCACCAGGAAAGCCCAGTACCTCGTGTAAGTGGAATCAAACAGTATTTGTCCACATCCAGTGTGTATTGGAATGCATTTTTAAGGTTAACTTAATATATGGAGGAGTTTGGTTCCTGGGTTGGGAAGATTCCCCTGGAGAGGGCATGGCAACCCACTCCAGTGTTCTTGCCTGGAGAATTCCATGGATAAGAGCCTGGCTGGCTATAGTTCATGGGGTCACAAAGAGGTGGACACAACTGAAGCGACTTAGCACGCAGCACAATACGTGGAGGAGGAGCTGTTTTGACCGAATTTTTGCTGGCAGAGAAGTCCCTCCTGTTCTTCATCCCCAGACCAGAGAAGAGAAGGAAGACAGCTCCCTTATCGTAGTATTACAAACTAACAAATGCCTTATGTGTCCCTTTCCCAGCCCCCCTCTCCCATCCAAATAGGGGTGCCTCTAAGAGGAATGTTAGCTTCA